GTGGGGGTGGTGGGAGGTGGGATGGGGTGGGTGGTAAGTTCTAAATTTACTACTTTTTAATTATTCTGATTTGATTTTTGTTAGTATTATAAGAAGAAGAGCTATCAAATAAAATTCTAAATCCAAATTGAGGAAAGAGATCATTTGGCATGAATTGACTTGTATTCCAAAACATAAGATAATATATATATGCTTGTTTAAAAGTTGAGAATATTGCAAAGATTTGGGTAAATTTGGGTAGTTGGTTTACAACCCATTTGTTTAGCCCATTTTGACCCAGCCATCTTAACCCAAGTGAACTTTGGGCTGGGTTGGGCAATGACCCATTTAATGAGTCAGCCCATTTTGACTAGCCCAAATACAACCCAAACAGCCCATTTGTCGCCTCTAATCGTAAACAAATCGGGATCGACTTTATGAATCTTCATGGACCATGTTTCTTCATTTAAACTGGCCAATATTCACAAAAGAAAGTTAAAATATAAAGTATGGTTTTCTATATATTCTATTGGCATATAAATCTCTGACATGAAATGACTCTTAGCATCAAGCATATGACCTATAGTAGATGTACTAACATGATTAAAGCATATTTTGAACTAGTTGCTATTGCCTATACAGATCATTTCCTTCCATGTTGCCTTATTTTCTGCCAAGTCTACACACATTCTAAGAAACTGTCGGTCTTTTGAGATAGCTCCTTTCCATGTGATTTTAAGTTTCCTCGCCTCCTTTTAACACCTTCACTCACCATAGCTTCACACTTACAGACCGACCAATGCATCTAGAGGTCGGCGCATGACTTGACCAAACCATCTCAAACAACATCTCTCACATAACACCCTGGGAGGACCTTAAAATCTCGTTCTAGGTTTAGCATCTTTATCTATCATATTCATAGCATTCTCCTGGAGCAAGGAGTCTAGATATATGTATTGTTTGCATTTAGGCATCACAATCCCGTCTAATTTCATCTCAACTTCACTTTTTATTCCGTCTGAATTATTAGTCTTGTTTCTACTTATCTTAAAATCCTTACTCTCTGAAGTGCTTCTCCAGAGTTTGAGTTTTTGTTGACTCCTGTTAACCTTCAGTTACTAAGGTCTATAACCTCAGGAAGAAGGGTGACATTAAGGCCTAAATGTAATTAACAACAACAACAAACCTACGGAAATTCCACAAGTGGGGTTTGGGGAGGGTAGTGTGTACGCAGACCTTACCCCTACCTATAGGAAGGTAGAGAGGTTGTTTCTGGTAGACCTTCGGCTCAAGAAAGATAAAAGGAAGAAGCAACAACAAGCAAACCCATCAGAAAACCGAAGCGATAATACAAGACTAATACTAAGTGGTGCAATAAGAAACTGAAGTGAAAGAAACAACAAGTAATAACAGAGATCTAAAACATAAGAAAACACAAGACTAACACTGAGTAATGCCCTAAAGCTACTAGAACGCGCAAGGACAAGGCTCGGCTGCCTATCCCTCTATCTTAATTCTCAACCTCCACGCCTTCCTATCTAAGGTCATGTCCTCAGTAAGCTAGAGCATCAGCATGTCTTGCCTAATCACCTCTTCCCAATACTACCTCTCCTAGGGCCCTCCAAGACCAGCCTCTCAAACCTCCTCACTGGGACATCTGTGCCTCTCCTTTTCACATGCCCGAACCATCGAAGTCTCGCTTTCCGCATCTTGTCCTCCACCGGGGCCACGCCCACCTTGTCCCGAATAACCTCATTTCTAATTTTATCTAACCTGTCTACCTTTCAGGTCGTATTTATTCCAGGCCAGCAGGACAAATGTTTCCTTTGTGGTCAAATGGGTCATTTAGCTGCAAATTGCGAAGGGAAGGCAAAGCGAAAAGCAGGGGAGTTTGATGAGAAAGGAGATGTTGAGGTTGTGGCGAAAAAACCATTCCAGGTAAGATTTCAGTCTGCCAAAAAAATTAACTTCTGTTTTTCTTGTTCATTCTCAAAAAAAAAAAAAAAAAAAAAAAAAAAAAAAAAAAAAATCATTAACTTCTGATTTTCTTGTGGTTATTCATTCCTATGTAACTTTTCAGAATTATTTTGGTGCATCATTTTCAGTTTCTCAACATCTGGACTTTGCGGGAGTATTTGGAATATGATTTGAGAATTCCCAATCCTCCTTTTGCGATTGATTTAGAGCGTATTGTTGATGACTTCATATTTATGTGCTTCTTCGTTGGCAATGATTTTCTACCACATATGCCCACACTGGAGATTCGCGAGGTGTGTGTTCTATAAGAACTGGTTTCATTTTATGTATTTGTTATGACTGGCGTTTCCCACTAACTACTAGATTTGTACCAAAAAATGATATATATATATATATATATTTCTTGACATGCTTTGATGGTTTTCGCTATATTTATGGATTAATATTTCTCTAACAGTCTAACTTCAAGAAATTTGTAACTAAAGCTGTTGCCTGCTTTTTGGAGCTGATAATGAATTTTAAATGTGAAAAACTAAATTTGGGGGAAAGACAAGTACTGATCATATATGAGGCAACAAGTGCAGAACATCTTGTGGGAAAAAAAAAGAGAAAGATGCTGCAAAATGCATAACTGTCCCTGAAGAATGTACTGTCGTAGTACTCATATATATAATGCCCCAGGTGAAAAGATGAGAACTGTAGGATGTTTGCTTCCTGTGAGATCAAAATTATTTTCTTATCTGACATGTATGTAACTGGTTTTACCGAAGGAAGTTGTGTTAACTTTTTGAGTTTGATGAAAAGCAAGCAGTGAGTACTGCTCGTGTTATTGAGTGTACTTAATGGCGTTGCATGCATATAGAGTGGAAAATGATGGTGCTTTTGCACTCCCTGTCTAGTGAAGGTGTGTCTGATTGAGAGATACATAACAACGGAGTGGTGTGGAATGGAGCTTCCAATTTTGTGAATGGCAAAAATTAATTAGCCCGCTGATAAAGTATTTCGGGTGCAATGTTAGGTTATGACATGCGACCTGCAATTTTTTGTTCCTTCTTTCAAGTAGGAAACTTGAGTTTTGTTGGATAATGGCTTTTGGAGATTTGCGTCTAAAAAAGGATAGCACATAGTCATAGCAAGCAAAATACAGTTTTTTTTTTTCTTTTTTCATAAGGTAGCAAGGAAAATACAGTTTTTTGAGGAAACAACTTGGTGTTTCCAGGGCACTCTCCATGTTGCATGGTGTTAGCCTATGGAAAACTTTTCAAGAGACTATCTTGAAAGTGGGCAATGGAGGAAACAACAGGATTTGGATGGATTGGTTGATTGGCCACATTCCTTTGGGTGATGAAGGATTCATGGAGCTGTTTGATATTTGGTTTTTCTTATCTGGAATAAGCAACTGAACATGACATTGTTTATACCAATTGCATCATGTGTTGGATTTGAGATTTCAGAGAAATACAATGGTTGGATGATGGAAAGATTCAATTTTCTCTTGAGAGTGTTCAGTGGGACTGTTAATTTACGAAAATCATAATACGTCGGAATTACGCTGAACTTGGCAGCATTTATACGGTGCACACCTGAACTATCTTTTGTGCTGATTACCCCCCTGAACTTAGCAGTTTGATACTCTTGATCCCCTTAGACGCTAACGTGGCAAAGAGTATAAATACACACTCTGTTAGACGTGTGGAGGTGAACCAAAACAAAAATCAGCTTCTAAGTATGGTATATTTCAACCGCTAATTTTCACGCAGTCATATACAATGATTTATTTGTTCCAAATTTGTATTTCGTCTTGCTTCTTCTTAATATACAATGCATGTTTACCCCAACTTTGTATTTCCTTTTATTTCTTCTTTAGAGGCAATGGTTATTTGTTCCTCCAACTGTGTATTTCTTCTTTTTTGAGCCAAAACTGTAAAAATTTGGCTGGAACTCTATTATTTTTAGCCAAATAAAAAATTCTTTAGGCAAATAAATGGAGCTCCAACGGTGTATTTCTTTTTATTCTTCATTAGATGCAATGGCTATTTTTCCAATGTGTATGTTTTTTTTCCTTCTTTAGATGCAATGACAATTTGTTCAATTGTGCATCTTCTCTTTTGGGTCAAATTTGTAAAATAATTTGACCGAAACGCCATTACGTTTAGCTAAATAATTTTTTTTAGCTCAAATAATGGAGTTTCAGCCAAAAAAAACTTACTGGCCTGCAAAGGATAAGAAGTTAACAAATTTTAGAAGGTAATAAATATATTTTATTTTAAAACAATGCCATCAGGTTAGATTGGTTTGGGGGTCAAGGCTATTGAAATGCCAATTCTTCAGGGATTAGGACTAGGAAAAGTTTAGTTGTGCACTAAATAAAACATGTCAAGTTTAGGGGGTGTCCTCAGGTATTCTGCCTATACAACACAAACCTGATGTTCTAATAGGGGATGAAAGTAACATAGGTACTCGCCTGTCAAGTCATTCAAAGAGCAATGTAAGCAGGTGCTCCTTGTAGAACAATGTGCAAAACCAAAGCATCCACAAGATTAATGTTTTTTGCCTGGACAATGATATGGGAAGTTATCCTCACTCAAGACTATTTACAGAGAAAAGGAAAAGAATATGTATATGATTATGTTATTTGTAAAGACCAGATGGAGCCGGTCAATCATCTGTTGTTACGCTGCAAGGTTGTTACTGAAATATGGAGGGTGTTCCTGCCGTTTTGTTGGATGAACTGAGTGATGCCTAAATCGGCTGATAGAGTCCCAATTCTAAAGACTTATTCTAGAAGAAAGTATCAGCAAAAGGATAAAGAACTGAATAATCTTGATGAAGTACAACTGCTGCAGTTTCTGAAATGCATATCTGATGAAACTATGGGTGTTTAACGGGTGGGCCGGGCCGGGCTGGGTAGGGAATTTTAGTACCCGTACGGGTTATGGTCCGGCCGGTTACGGGTGGGGGCCTACCGGGTTTAACGGGTTCGGGTTCATCCGGGTAAAAATTGAACCGTAAGGGTTACGGGTTGATGGAGCCGGGCTGGGCCGGGTTTAGTGTTATTTTTGATTTTTTTGTATTTTGTATAACTATTGTAAGTTATATTAATACAAAGTAAAAATATAAAGAATACAAGGAAGATGAGAAAAAATTGCACTTATAAATTGCAAGTGCTACATTTATTTCAAAATTCAAACTTACAAATTGAAAGGTTTACATTTAACAAGTAAAATAACCAAAAAAGAGTAAATTCAAAGGTTTTGCATTGCCTTAGTAAGTTCTTCATAATCAATATGAACTGAGTGACCTTCTTCTGGAGTGTTAAATTCGGATGGGTTACCATGTGTTAATATATCTCCAAGTTCCTCGTCTTCTGGGCTATCAACATCTTCACGTCCTTGATTTCTTCGTTCCGATCTAATCCAATCTCTGAAACATACTAAAACTTCCAAAGCATTGCTTCCCAATGAGTGACGGGTGTCTCCAAGTTGCTTGGCTAAATGCACTCTCTGATGCAACAGTTGAAACTGGCACATTCAGCACGTCCCGAGCCATAGCGAAAAGANAAATATATATGTATAATTCCATCTAGTAACAATTTCGTTTGGCATGAATCTGGGTTTAAGGTTATACTGGACACACTTATTCTTAAATTCGTTTATTCTAGATTGTCTATTATTTCCTTGAATAACACCAACTGCTCTTCTAACATGAGTAATCTCAGTTGAAAATAAATCAAGACCACTTTTAACAATCTATACTATATTAAAAGCATGACGGTCCTTAGCGAAATGTCGTTCGCCTTTTTTACCCTCTAAAACTTGATTTCATACTAGACAAATTAGTCATTTCATTATTTCTCCTAATTTTTTTAGGACTTTAAAATCACCTAAAATTTTTCTTATTATATCTTTCCTTAATTCTTTTTTGAAGTATATATGTAAAAAGTCATAATATTTGGCAACATGTAACACATTAATTATCAAACCTAACATGAGTAATTTTCCATCCAAAGAAAAGCTACATTTCCATTGTTAGATATCCTTCGACAAATATAAGAAGTATAAAAAGAAATCAAGAAAATTAATTTTACACTCAAAATAATTATTTAATTATTTTTCTAACTTTTAGGACGTTAAAATTAGCTGAAATTTTACTTATTATATTTTTTTTATTTGAACTATGTAAAAATCTTAATATATAGAATTATATGACGTGTAATATATTTATTAAATCAAAACTAACATGAGTATTTGCCGTTCAAAGCAAAGCTAAACTTCCATTGTGATATCCTTCCATTGTGATATTACCATGGTTTCAGCTATCATTCTCTTTTACTATAATTCAAGAGTCTAAAAAAATAACTTTATCAATTTAAATTTGAATGATTATAATAAAATAACAATAAACATTGGTTTTCTACCTTATTTTTTGTGACCTTTATTTTATATGACCATTCGATTAAAATTTTCGTATGATAACCTACATACGAAGTCTTTTTTTTTGTTTTTCTTTTTATAACCATTCTAATAAATGACAGCTTCCTATATTTACGTTATTTTTTATAAAGTATTAACTCTAATATTATAGTATTTTTTAAGTTTTATATTATTATTTATTTATCAAGCTAACGGGCTAAAAATGATCAATGTTCATCATATTTAAGAACTTATACTTTTTATTTTATTTTATTCAATAACTCACATTATTTAATATTTTTCGTATTTTTAAAAAATCATATATTCATTGATATAGGGTACACGCGCAAAGCGCGTACCGTAATACTAGTTAAATTATAAACATGACATGCACACCTAACATGAAAAATTTCATCAAGAGGTGGTATCAAATGCTATTTTAATATTGAAATTGCGGCATTATTGTTAGAAGCATTATCAAAAGACACACACAATACTTTTTGCTTGAGATTATAAAATTCAACTTCACAAATAGTACTACTTATAAACGCAGCAGTATGACTCTGATCTTCATAATATTTAAAAGCGATAATACGTTTGCATACAAGTAGTATCATCTATCCAATGACATGTAATTGTCAAATAATCATTTCCATTAACAGCATGACCAATATCAGAAGTTAGAGAAACTCTACAAGGAAGGTGGCTAAACAAATAACGTATGTATGTTTGATATTGTCCATGAAGTCTAAAGATATCAGATCTACAAGTACTTCTAGGGATACATTTAAATAAAGGATTGTAAATCCTTTGAATATACATAATAAGATATGATGAAGAAGCAAAAGAAAAAGATAGACAACCCAAAGCAATCATTTTTGCTAACTCCTCACGATCCTTCATTTTATCATATTTCACAAGACCTCCAGTAGTAGGGTTTAGAGTTGATTGATTTCCATCTCCATTAGATCCCCATTCTATAGGATGCTCAATTCTCATATGTCTACTAAGTGTCCCAGTCCCCCTTAATTGTCCTCCAGTCTTATGTTTAAAAGTATCATTACAAAGTTTGCATTTAACTCTATGACTATTCGGTATGTCTTCAAAAAAATTTCCAAACCTTACTTCTTTTTCTACGATTACTAGTCGGGGCCACAGGTGGTCTAC